GATAGTTCAGACGTCTTCAACATTGAGCAGACATCACAACGATTCAGTGCTCTGATCATCTGTTGATCCTTTGTGTGCGGGGGAGCAACAACCGCTCTAAACATGCATGGAGGGCAAGCACCTTGGCACAGGCTCACAGTGTTCAATTTGAGTGCAGAGTAGCCTACATGCTGTGAACATCCCAGCAGGGTGGATGGCAGAGACGGGGAAGGGGAAAAAGGGGTGTTAGTTTAACCTTTTCGTTGTTCTGCACGAAGTGCAGCGCATTGCCAGCATGTACTATTCACACCAATGTGGGGTTGAATTTAATGAAGCTGAAAGGTGGCCTGATTTTGAGATAGCGCTGATATTGAGGACTCCAGCAAATTGCAATATTGTAATGTAAGGTGTTGAGATTTGAGATTTCCCAACGTGCCTGTGCACAAATTCAGACGCAATTTAAAATGCCTGCCTTTGGGCTAGATGCAAATTTGATGCGCCTTCCTCTGTGCATGTTCAGGTGCTAGCGGCACAGCAGACAGTGAGATTTGTCGTCAGCTTATGTCCAAGATGAGTTGCCCTGTAGATGCAAAGCAGTCCCTGCACAAGGTGCGTCGGCTTGCATCTGGCCTTGCTGCTGCAAACTTTTGGAAAACTGGTTGTTGATTGCATTGGTAGAGTATAGCACATGCGGGTTGCTCCCGAATGGTTCTTAGTGTTTGGTGGATTGCTGGGCGCATTCTGCGAAATGATTGTGCTGTTGGGGGCACAAGGTTTGTTTCATTGTATGTTCAGCAATGATGCAGCTGTTCTGAAGAGCACTGTGTGTGTTCATGTAGGAGCTACAGATGCTACCACGTGAGGTACAGTAGCCACAGATGTGTTTTGGAGGATGACAGTTCTACCTTTTCATCGATTCCACTGGATGGCAGCTCGACGATTTTGGAGGGGATTGCTGGGGATGCACTAGTTGACCGTATTGGAGAAAACAACGTATGGAGCCGTGCCCTATCCGAGAGGACTGTCCTTATGAGCTGATGCACCTGATGCGGAAGTGTTTTTCGATGAATCCAGATGACAGGTTGTCTATCAGGGATGTCTGCACAGTGTTGAAGCGCCTTGTCCAGGAACATTTGCAGGCAAGTAGCTTTAGTGCAACTCTACAGCATGGACAGTGCGCAGCCTACAGAATCCTCAATAGACTTATGACACATTACCTGGCGAAAGAATTGATGGCATGGTTTTACTGCTTGCTTGTCCAGATTACGGTGTCTACACGCACGCATGCATGCACGCACGCACGCACGCACGCCTACTTCGGTATCAGATTGCTATGTTCCAATTCAGACAGTTGATGTTCTTAATTTGCCACCTATCCCTGAAAGGATTCTTGATGTTGGCCGCCAGGCTCCCTTTTAGGCTGACGCATCATCCCTTGAGCACAAGGAAATCTCAAGGACTGCGACTGACTTCAGCTGCCTTCAATCATGTCAAGCGTGTCGTCAACTCATTCATGCCACTGTCAGGATTTCGAAGGGAGGACTCACCATCTCAAACCATGGCACAGACAGCCTTGCAGGCAATACAATGTGAGCAGATTGGTGCCAGATTCTGAGACTTGCCAGCATCACATCCTCATTTACATCTAAGCTGTTCGTTTTTGGTGTTTTGCAGCAGCACACTTTTGGAGTGCAACGTAATATCCCTCAGAATGGGCTACCAAAGCATTCAAAGCTTTAAAGGACTATTATGTTTCACTGTAGTGTTGTGAAGGCGAGTACTGGCCCATGGAGCATGATTTTGCTCTCAAAGAGAACGCCAGGATGACATTGTGTAATGATAAGACATTTTGACACTGTAGAATGGGGTGAGCCTAATGTGTGAATGCAGCAAACCTGCAGTGCATGTTATGTTGCATCAGATTGAGCAATTTGCCAAAGTTTCCGAGTGGCCTGTAGATAGGGTAGTTGCTATATGTGCAAAACTAGCCACTGAAGTAGGACCCAGCCACAACCCTTTAGCTGCAGCATAGCTCCCTGCCAGAAACTGCCTCGTTCCTCTTTGATTCTTTCCATGGCCATCGACAGATCATTGGTACTCTTGAATGATCCATTGCAGATTCATTGGCTAGTGTCCTCACCAAACCTACCAAGTCATCCCAAATGGAAATGGCACTTTTGCCTCGATGATTAGCTCCCTGGGTGCTCAGGCGCTCCTGGCTTTGCTGAGCTCCAGGGGGGATTTGAAGCTTTGATGGCACCTGATGCTGCTTACAGGATGCAACAGCTCTGTTGTCCCCTCCACTCTGCCATGTAGCACTGATTGCAAATGCCAAGCAACCAGAAGCTCAGGCGCTTGGAAGGCGACTTGTGTCAGAACATGCAGCGAAGCTTTTGGAACTCTGCCAGTGCATCTCAAATTGATCCAGTCAAATGCGCCCTGAACCCCACTGACACTTAATTGGAAGAATTTTTGGAAGCCACTGCCCTCTACCAATCTGTATTATGTCTTTTGGTTTGATGAGCTCGCAGGTTGAACCAAACTCAACGCAGGCCCATCTTCGAGGCTCCATCCAAGGAATATGATAAGGTCGCTGCAGTGTATTGGTATTCCTAAATAGGCTCGTTGAATACGTTTGTGAGATTATAAATACAGCAAAAATACACTTAGTTATGAATTTATAGAAATGCCCATAAACATGCACCTATGCGTTGCATCTACGCAGGCATGTCACGTGAGGTCGCAAATAAACGGTCAATCCGCCGCCTCCTCCAGCACAAATTGGGGGGCCCGATTGTGTATTTCAAGACAGCATCCACCTCGCCATCGCAATGGGCAACAACGTTATTGGGAAAACGGACATCCTCTCCCCACTCCAATGCTTCTGGCGGCAACTCTCCACACTCCCAGATGTGCTTGGGCCTAGGCGCCATGCAGATAAATAACAATCGCCCTTCCCATTTTGGGATCATTTGGCCGTGGCGCTTGCTTTCGATCTACACGCAGCTGCCCGACACCCACTCACGCATGCCCTCTGCGATAGGCTGTGACAAGAACTTCGCCGCCCCAGGCAATAGTGTGGGTAGGCCCGTTGAGTGGGGCTCCACTGCACTATTTGTCAAGCGACATTATTTGCTCTTGTGGAAACAGCTCCTGATTGGCCTATTTGCAAGCATGGTGGGGGCAACTTGTCAATGGGATGCCTAGCTGCCCGACAACATGGCGTACACAACTCCTATTTCCGATTTCAGGAGGACTTGAGGGGACGACACCATCACACAGGGCTCAACAGCTTATTGTTCTCACACAGGGCTGCCGGATCTAGGCACTGCTCAGTTGTGAGGCCCGAAACTTTCCTGGCTTGTCCAATTTTCCTTCTTCATTACCAACGCCACAGCGATCACCTGCTTGGGCTAGACTTGCTTTGTTTGAGCAATTTTTGCAGCTGTCACACAGCAGACACCAAATAGATGAGCCGTCAAACAGCCCTCTTACAACACTTCAAGGCCGCCCAGATCCCGCCAGGTGTCAAAAAGATCAGTGGGCGCGGGTAGCGGTCAGCACGTTGTTTGAGCATGAATTTTTGCGATCGCATCATTGCAGCATTCACAAACCGCCGCAACAAGGACTGACAGTCTTCATCATCGATCATGCGAATGTTTGCCTTCGATCAGATGCAGATTTAGAATTTGGAGTGAACTCCGAATGTTGAGCATGCTGGGCACTGCATGTGAGCTTCTTGTTTGTGCACCAGTGTACAAATTAGCGCCACTTACAGATAATTTGATGATCATTGCCAAGGGAGTCCGCCTTGGCGATATCTAGAAGTTTTGCGCAGGCTCGTGAAACCTTGCACGACAGTGATGCTTTGGAGGCTGCGGGCTTGGCGGTGAGTTGGAGCTGTAAGCTTAGATTCTCTTGGATGATGGATGCCGGCCAACTCAGGCTTGAACAGGTGGAAACCTTCTGAGGAATTTCTCACAACCTGGGGTGCAGTTGGTTGGGCGGCAGACCTGCCAAGGTATCTGGGCCGCTGGCTTGAGCGGTTAGTACTGTCACAAGTGGCCAGGTTGCTATGGCAGTACGTGGTTCTCGCAACATGGTTGCCCCCACCTCAAGGCCTGTCCAAGTGTTTCATTGCTCATCCATACCCTTGGAGACAGATGAGGTATTCGTAGAGGTGGGTAGCCCTGGTGGCAGACTCAAACGGGCAGGAAATCGCCAACTGTGTGCCATTTTTGTAATGTACAGTGCCGTGCTGGTGGGAACAAGTCTGTCAAAACTAGCCAATGGTTGGGACAGTCACATGGGTGCTTGCCAGTTGCCAGCTCGCTTCCTGAAGGATGGCCGCGCCCACTCGGGCGCTCTCCGCCCAGCGCAATCGCCACATATGCTTTCCAGCAACCATTCCTACATGGTTCACAGCCTACTTGTTTCAAGCATGCAAGTTGCACTATTGGCGGATTTAGAATGATGTACCCCACGGGTCCCACGGCGGCTTGGCGGACTCTTTTGTTTATGTGTGTCATCACAAGCGCACAGGAAAGAATAGTCGACTTTGTGTATCAAAAGGACTACATTGGCAATGTTCATGTGTGTTTCCTATTGCAAACTAGGACACAGAAGTTTCCCAGTGCCGTAATTTACATTTACATGCACGCTATTTCCGGACTCTCATCCCGCCCTCATATCGGCACCTCTGCACCCCGGCCCCAGCCACTGCTCCCACAAGCGCACGCCCTGAGCCCTCGAAAGGGCACACATGAGCACAAGCCAGCCCCATGATGACGCAGCCACTCAGCAGGGTCTACAATCACAGGCGGTCCTGAAATGTGATGCAACATTTTGAATCAAAAGAAAATCAAAAGCAAAAAATGCAAAATCAAAAACCAATACAGAAACCAAAACGAAGAACCGAAAACAAGTGGTCCGCGTGCAGCATGACCCAACATGATGTACAACACGATCCGCTGCCCGGCTCCAGCCATTATGCATGTCATCCGACACATCCTCGACACCATTCACAAGCCGAAGCGCGTCGCGCAGGACGCGGAGGACGCCGGCGAAGACGCCCCGCCGCGGCCGCCCTCCAGCTCGCACGGCAGCTGCCTGCACAGCGCCGCCAGCCGGCCGCACACCTCCCTCATCCCCGTCGGCCGCTCCCCGGGCTCGATCGCGCAGCACCTCTCCATCACCTCCACCAGCCCTTCAGGCAGTCCATCGGGCAGCGAGCACGGCGGCTCCCCGCCCCGCTTCTTGGCCAGAACGTCCGCGGGCGCCGTGCGCCGGCCGTACGGAAATCCTCCCCCCACCACCTCGTACATCACCACCCCGAAGCTGTACATGTCGCTCTCGAAGCTGTGGGGCCTGCCGTCAAAGATCTCCGGGGCCACCCAGGCGGGCGATGACCCCATGCGCTGCCGCAGCGTCCTCGTGCCCGTCTCGGTCTTCACGATCGCCAGGCCGAACCCGACGATCTTGACGCGCGGCGGGGTGCGGTCCCCCTCGAAGACGACGAAGTTTCTGGAGTTGACGTCCCGGTGCACGAACCGCTGCTCATGGACGTCCTTGAGGCCCTCGGCGGCCTGGCGCAGCAGCATGAGCTTGAGGGGTAGGCCCGCCGGCCCCCGCCTCTGGCACCAATCGATCAGGTCGCCGGCGCCCAGCTCCATGACCAGCATGCCGGAGTAGGTGGCGGCGATGAAGCTGACCACGTAGGGGGAGGCCATCGACGCCATGGCGGCCACTTCGGTGAAAAATTCCGCGAAATCTTCCAAGTCCAGCTGGTTGGGGTCCCCGTCGCGGACCAGCTTCTTCACGGCCACGTCCTGCACGTCCCTCCACCGCGCCTTGAACACCGACCCGCATATCCGCCTCTCCAGCACCACCTCGGCGTCGGATATCGAGATATTCAGCACCCTGAGGATGCCCTCGTGCTGCGCCTTGATGTTCGCCCACTCGTCCCGGAAGCGCGCGTCCACCTCATCAAAGGGACAGGGCTCATTCTTGAGGACGTACGCCAGGCACCGCCCCAGGGCGGCCTTGTCCTCCAAGACATCTATCTCGGGAGGGCCGTCCTCGATCTCAATGGGGAAATCCCACCGGCCGGCGAACTCTCTCAGCGTGCCGCAGATGACCTTGACCACGTTCTTCACCTCCGCGATCTTGTAGAACGTCTGGAGGTTGAACGGTCTGGCGTGCCTGCGCAGGGGGACGCCGCGCTGAGACGCCTGCTGTCGACGAAATTCGATTTGAATGAAAAATCCAATTTGTCTTTTTGTGCAACTAACAACTTCTGCATTTCTTGCTGTTGCTTTCATTGATGCTTCAAGCAACAATCTACAATCTGCGTCTAATTCTTGAGTCGTACACGCGTTCTTAGGCCCGTCAATCACATGTACGGACAAAACTCCCCATGAAACATGTTCACGATTGCCCAAGAACTGCCAGTCTGATGGAAAGATGCTTGTTTTGTGTTGTGATGACAATGTAGTCAAATGAGGATTGAATGCTCACGAGTCACACAGCGTGATCCTGCCCCAGTGCATAGTGCATCACAGATACGAGTTCCAGCAATGGAAGCCGGTTTCATCAAGGAGAACTTCAGAGCAAATCATGGTCAATTAAACATCAGGCATTTGCTCGACTCAGCTCACCGTGAATCGCTTTCATTAAAATGTGCACTTACACTTACCCAGAATAATGTGGACTTCATTTCTATTGGGTGTTCAGCTGGGAGAGCTTTCAAAGTCACTGATGGGTACTTAACATGGCCATAGACATAATGTTGACTTGACACTGTGTGTTGTTGTGTGAAGTTCTTTACAACAGGAACAAACAAGGGGCGTCAAAGTGTGGCCTCAAGGTCCTGTGCACCTCCAGCCCAGTACACCCCCGATCGGTGCCAGACGGCCTGTCCCAGAGCACCAAACATAATTGCTACAATATTCTTTAAGATCAACAAGGAAGTTGTGTAGCCAGTGCTGCACCAGCTGTTGCAAGATTGCCCTTGCAGCTCCAGGTCCACTACTATCACCATTGCTGTTCTAGAGCAATTGCAACCCTGGCTGGCTCGTTCACAGTTCTGCACAAATGTACAATATCAACAATGGTGATCATGCAGGCAGGTCTGTGATCATCGCAGCACATGTTTTGGCTCCTTCCACAAGAAAGAAAGGCCGTGCTGTTTATGGAGATCACTACAAGCCATTGTACTATGATGTACTATGTACATCCCACATGGACATCTACTATGTACTAAGTCATTGTACTATATTGATGCTACTATTTCTTCTGAGCAACAGCACTACATACGCCACCACCAGCTTCCCACTATCAGCAATGCAGGTGCATCGCTGTGCAAGCACAGAGCCCCTGTCCCCTTTCCTTGCCTGTGGATGAGTATTTTGCCGATGTCCATTGCACGCCGCATCTTCTTTGAGGACGACTTCCACTCCTGTGCATCCGCCTCCGCCGAGGCCCTAAGCATCTGCTGGGGGCTGATGGAATCGATCTGTGCCATCTGTCTGTGGAGGAAGCCCAGCATGCATCGATTGTACCTCAAGCACAGCTGCAGCACATGAAAAGCTTCAGAAAAGAAGAATACTGGACACAAGACATAGCGCCGATGTTGACAATAGTGCTTGACGACGCTTACTATTCTCAATGTGCACAAGCGAATAATGCTTCGCTGAGCTCAATTTCTAATGGTTGCTGTCCGTTTGCTGCCCATTGCACAGAAAGAGAAAGCTTAGAAATGAGCCACCAGCAGCAGGTCAAATTGCCTGTGATTCTGCTGGTGGACATGCAACAGATGCACGCTGTACTCTATGCAGGAGACACTTTTGACACACCACCCCACCGTCATCAGACTCTTCAGCGTGCACAATTGCAAATTGAATGGAGAGGTACAAGCCAAATGAATACAAGAAAACTGAACCACACAAGGCCCAGCCTTCCTGATGGCTGTCGCAGGTTTTGGATGCCGATGCATTTACTCAAGAATATGACCAAACTTACTGTGCTTAAAAAGCTATGTCTCCATGACTACAATGCAGTGCGAGATTACGAAACCACTGTGATTCGGAGTAATGAATGCAAAGTAGATGGCAGCGCCTGCCCAGCAATCGGCCATTTGCACCTGCGTTGGGAGCAGACAATTGAACTGTGCAAGTCACAGTTGTGCACTGAGTCGCCCTCAGCGAATGCAACAGTGCAAAGGCTGTCGTTCCTGTGAAGGTGAAGTCATGATGGAAACCAGAAACTTACCGACTCTTCAGCTCCACTCCCTCCATTTTTGCTCCTGTGTGCCTGTGGGAAACCAAAAAGAATTGAGATGACTGCCATCCAGAGCAGTATGTGCGCACATGTTCTGTGCACATGGCTTTGAGTTGAGAAATCTTCACACAAGCATCCCACATTGGCCATCGTAGGAACAATGTGAAACCAACAAGCAGAACAGTGAGACATGTTGTTATCCTGTGTGTCAAGTGTGTCTTCAACATCGGTTTGCTATTGCGTGGATTGCAGTTGTTCAAATAACATGACAAACACAGCCCCAGTACATGCCAGCGATGAAGGGCATGGAAACATGCAAGCAGTGTTCAGTGAATGTCCACAGATCACAGGTTGTGTAAAGCAGTTTCTGGACTAACGTGTGTGACACTGTGACCATCAAAGTGTGGCTAAGATTGCACTATTTAGCCTCATTTGACGCTTGGTACAGTGCTGATGCTCAATTTTAAGCTGTTGAGCATAACCCAAATGCAGACATGGACAGGTAAAAATTAGGATGTTCTAATCATTGCCGAGGACGCGCAGTTCTGCATGAACGAGCTACACTTTACAGCAATTGCAACGGCTGCAAGGAAAAGCAGTTCGATGCCCTGCTGAACTAAAAATGTGGTCAACAGCTTCATGTACATCCAACCCTGCAGAATGCAGGAACATCAGTTTGGTACAACCACTGAGGAAATAGGCAGCACAAACGGTGACAGCAGCCCCCTCCGATCGGCAAAGTGCATCGCAGGGTTTCACGGCAAAAGATGATGCAGCAACAGTGGCTAGAATGACTTGAAGCAGCTTCATTTGAATACCACGGACAATTTTGGACATGGTGTTCAGCAATTTGGCACAAACTGAGTACATATCTCAACTGCATGCAAAGTACAAATGTCCTTATATAAGAATACAACACAGTCATATCTTGTGAACTGGGTTATTTCATGCAATTCAGAGAGATTTACGAACCTCATCGGTGGTTCCTTCCAGCAGCTCACGTGAGTTGAGTGTGGTGAGGACCTCAGACACCTTGCCCATGAGTTCAGTCTTCCCTCTGAGAATGGCATCAAGCAGTTCTGCTGCCCTGCAGTCCATGCTCCTGCCAAGCAGCACAGTCTGTGCCACTTGTAAAACTGCATGCAGACACCCAAGGAATCAAGGGCCTGCAACAATTGATCAGGCTTCATCTGTGTCCTTATGGTCGTATGCTCACTGCAGACTGGGCCATGCACTTGGCTGCGCAGATGCAAATCTCCGTACTGTGTGGTTTAGATGCCGTGTACTTTGCTGCATGCTGGAAACTTCCTGGCGGCAGTGGACCACTTGCCATACTGCCAGACCAGTTGTCTGGATTACGTGGATCAGCTGGATTTGGAGTGCTGTAAGCATGCACAAAGAATACTACAATATGCGCAGAAACATATTCAAATATGCAGTTGGATATTCTATAGTTGGAGAATGCAATTCTGCACTCTCGCTTTGCATCGCAAAACAACAGTTCTCGTGAGAGCGAACATCTCCAGAACAACTTTGATCACGTCAAGGACAGCAACGCCCACAGCAACACCAGTCTGGGCAGGTGCACACAGCACCTCAACAGCACAAGCAGCAGCACATGCCCATTGCTACATTAAATGCCAAGGAGACCCACAAGTACAGGCAGTGAATGTCCACAGTGAGATTTACTCACTCTGCATGGCACTGCCCAGGTCTGCCCTCACTTCCTTGAATTCCTCTTTTATGTCTGTCGCCTGCAGGAACGTGAACAGCGCAAACTTCTTCTTTCCCAACCTGTCCAGGAGGTCTTTTCCCCTATGCAGCTGAACACGGATCCCAAACAGTGCATTGATCACCCCCTTCTCTGCCCTCAACCTGCAAGCAGCAACAGCAATATAGGGCTGAGCATGTGTGGCAGTTCATGGTTTCCTGACACATTAACCACTTTCTGCATTGTAGGCCTCAGTGTTGGGCAATTCGTAGTTGTGGTGGTTGAACAGCACCAAATGTTGCACAAAGGTTGTGCCTTCAACACAGGAACCACAAGTGACTCCTGAGGACAACCCGCAAAGGCACAAAGGTGCTTGGTGTGTCTCTGTTTGTCATGTCACTCTGAACGATGCAAGCCATGGATTTGCCCATCAGCAAACCCTATCCCAAAATTATGATCTGGGAAAATTTGCCATTGTGGCCAGTGTCAATAGCGCTGCAACATTCTTACAATGGGTGACACATCATGTGTCACAAATTGATTGGATGCCACTGCAGCAGTCTTCACCTCCAACATGCAAAGATTTTGTTCTCATGTCCTGTTGGCACTGCTGTCCATCAAACACCGCCCTCTGTGAGCATCTATTTGTGGAGTAGCTTCCAGAATGTTAAGAAATGGTGCAGAATCTTCAACATCTACTCGTATTTATGGCCAGTGCCTTTGTCCCATTGCGGCAAATTTATCGAACACAAAGAGAAAGGCATTGATGTTGACTGCAGTGAGTGGTAATATTGAAAACTGAAGGAGCATCAGCATCGAAACAACAGCAGCAAACACACTTCGACAGGACCTGTCATGGCGCAGCAAGGCATCCGCTTCCGAGTTGTATGCTGCGCTTGGCATCGAAGCTTTGTACTTATTCTCTTCGGACTGACACTGGCACGATATGTCAATCAACATGGGCTCCAGAGTGCGGATCTGCTCAAGAAGTAGTTTCTTGTTTTCTTTGTTGGTTTTGACGGCATCTGCACTGCTCTTTACAGCGATGCCCAAGTCCACGAGCTCACGGACAAGCCCAACAATCTCCAGGACAGGCATCATCCCTCCAAGAATACTCATTGACCTGCACAGGCCAGCAGATTTTAGCACATCTTGCCAGACCATACTATCTGCATTTCCATTTGCCTGTCAAAACTCAATATAGCTGTATCTGATTGAAGAAGCTGCACACAGTTAGAACTGACTGAGTTCAGCTCAATCTCCTATCCTTTGTTTCATTTGCACAAATCAACTCAGCGTTCTACTTGAGTGTGTCTTCATGGGCAGATCTATTTTTAACACGTTTCCACAACAAGCTGCATTTCAAGTGCCTGCTACTTCAGGGTCATACACACAACGATGCCACACATGCACAGTCCACATTTTCATCATGCCACACAGATGCTGTGCAGGTATTCCTGGGCACACAAAGGCTTCCAATTCCCTTTCAAATTGTAGAATAATCTCAATGTTCTAGCAGGTTGCCCATCCCCCTTCTCAAAATCCGTGCACGAGGGATGTGCAAAATACTGAGTGTCTCAAGAGTCGTCTCAATATCTATGGCAAACAATGCCCTTCCACTTTGCAGGCAATGATGGGGGGGAGAAATATCCATTCAATGTTTGGTCCCAAGACTGAGATGCACCACCAACCAGCTGCACAATGTGAACAGGGGCCATAGTGTGGCAAAGGTAAAGTTTGCAGCACAACTCTTTCTCACATGGGGCTTGCAGCCAGGCTTAAGATTTTGGCACTGCCAGAACCTGTTGGGCTGTACAATATTTTGCCCGTCTTTGCCCGTTGTTGAGCCAAATATGTACTGCTCAGATCCCCTACTGTGTGTTCATGAACCTTTGATAGCTGTTGGCAGTTCTTGATCTAGGGCCTCTGCATCCAAGACTGGAACACCCTTATCGCTGGACAAGACTGTTTTGACAAGGACCGGGGGACGGAAACCCCTGAACCCAATCCAGACATATGCTTCGAGTCACAGCTGAATACAGAGATACCTTCTAGTGGCAGTGTAGCCACACCACAGTCGCAAGTATCCTTGCAGGCACCACGAAACCAAAACACTGGCCATGGCACGTGTCCCTAAAAGGCACGGGTGATCTGACAGTATTACCATCGAAGGGGTCTTTAAGGACCTCGCATAAATTGTGAATGGCTACCACGCTGTGCAGGTTGAAATCTGAAACACGATAGTTTCAGTCAAAATGTGTCAACCCATGGCCCAGCGGCAACGTTGGGAAAAAGCGTGTACCAACTTCCAACAAGCGACGGGAAATCACAGGAAGGCACTTCTGGCCACACTGAGGCAACCGTCCTTATCCCCGCTCAGGCAGCGTCTTTAGCTATTCCGATCTGTTCACCCCGAGGGCTTGTCTTCGATGGCCTTACCTCGAGATCTCCTCCCCGTGGGTTTGACTTTGATGAGCTGACCCCGAAACCTCAACTCCCGTACGCTGACTCCGATAGCCCAACTCCAAAATCTCCCCCCCGAGGGGCTGACTTCGATTGGCTCACCTCGCACCCTCGCCCCGACAGACCGGCTTCGATGGATTCACCTCGAAACCGCGACCCCCATCACCTGACCTCGGAATTTCCAAGGGTTTGATTTCAATGGGGACGCCACCCGGTGACGGCGCCTGCCAGCGTCCCCGCGCTTCACGCGCCGCAGGCGGGCACCAATCCGCTCGCGGCCGGAGGCCCCATGTGCGGCCAGCGGCGGTCCGTTAAGTTTCGACCCAGGCCGATATGAAATCGAGTATACGTCCGAGTGGCCCGCCCCAAAATCGAGGTCGCGTGGATATTGCGTGGCCCTTAGCCTGGTGGACAACAGCAAGACCCAACAGCAAATGCCAAGGCGGCGGCCGATCAGAAAGCCAGCATCCCCCCGCCCCCCGTTATCTAAACATTCTTCTCCGGCGTGCTGCCCAAGCTCACAAACAGCTCTCCCAGTTACCGAGGCCTTTGGTTTCGAAGCCATGATCTGGCGGTCTCCGCCTCCAGGCACTCGCGCCTGGAGCTCGGAATCGTCATGCCCACACCAACACACGCGAATCCACATCCCGGCGCCTATCCACGGGATCAACAGTCCCGCTCCGGGCGGCAGGGCACCTCCCCACTGTTTCAGTGCGGATGGTAAAGAGGATGTTTGACCGGGGATCGAACCGGGTACCTCTGATGGGATGTCCCACTGCGCTGCCAAACCCCCCGGCCAGGAGCAAGGAGGAGGGTGGTCCAACCCCTTCAAGTACCGACCCAACCAACCAACAAACCCCCTCTACCTTGCGCGGGCGCCACCGATCGTCAAAGCCCCATGGGGGGTCCCGATTCCAAATGCAGCTGCAGCGTTCCGCCGAAGACCTCTGCGAGGGGCCTCTGCGAGCGGCAAGCCCTCGATGGGCCACCTTCCGGGCCCGCCCAGCGGCGACCTGTCGGATGGCGACGCGCGCGTCAGCAGCGGGGTGTGCTCTCCCGCGGTTCGCGCCCAATCTCGGCCTGATTGTCCTGAAGCTCGGAGTGAGGTCGCTACCTGTCCAACTTTCCGGCCCTAAAGGTTTGGCTGCCGGTGTTAGGAAAGGGACTTGTGGGGATTGTTGTGGTGTGTCGGGGAGCCAATGATCAATGTCCTGACATTGTAACAGGACACAACGACGAAGCGTGAAGCACGCTTTGCCTCCACAGTTAGAAGGTTTACTGGGACAGCACAAGGGGACGTAACAAGGTGGATGAGAATGAGAGAACAGCGAGTGTCGGCACAGCACGTCCATTGTAGAGGAACGGTGCCCACACAAAGTGTCGTGGAAACAACAGGAAGCACATCTCATTGAGCATAGTTTGCTTCAATTCACCGATTTATATAAATCGACCTTTTGGGTAGCCTACTATGCAGCTCCTGGTATGCATACCCTTTCGAAAGCTCGAATTCGAGAAGGAATTGATGAAGTTTTGGCCATTCGCAGCCACGGAAAGTAGGGAAGACACTATTTTGATTCTGTTATGCTTAGCGTCAAATTGACGTTGGGAGGGGGGCGGGCCAAGGGCGTGACGCTAAGGAATTATGCTGTTGCAACAAGATCAAAATAAGGCGCAAGAAGAGGTCCAAAACGCCTTCAAGTTATCAGAAAACGCACACAAAAGTGTATGCAAGAGGGGCGTGGGTGCTTGGACATGATGACAGCGTCCGCATTGGCAGCGATCATGGCGCACGCAGCAGTCTCGCGGCTGCCATAAATTGCTCTCGGGATCGCATGGGGCACAGCCAGCATGGCCTGCCAGCGAAGTGACTGTGCAAGCTGGCGATTGGTGGAGTGGATGGGTTTTCGTGATCCAGAGGTCGCCATAGAACTGCGCGCCATCCTGGCAGCTTGGGCATCTACAGATCAGTTCTTGACGTTGGCTCCATTTCAGGGTGGTCTGCAATGGTGTTATGCATTGGTCCGTGGTGGAGTGGGGAGCGAGGGCTTGCACAAGTGGCTGAGAAGCGCTTTCAGATGATGATGATCGTTTCCGGAAAATGACTGTGTAATATACTGAAAACTGCGGGCAATGAAATAAATATTAACGTATTGTTTTTCTGATGAAACTATGACGAACATAATGGAAACCAATGCTGCAAACGCTGAGAAGTGCTGGGGAACAGCTGAGGAGCACTTTTAGAAGATGATGATCGTTTTCCGAACAGGATTGTGCAACACACTACAGAAGCCAGGCTTGGTTTTTGCGTTTACGTTTACGTTTTCACTTTCACGTTTTTACGTGTAAAAATGTAAACTTGCAAAAGGGCCTATTTTTAAGGCTATTTTTCCTTTTTTACGGCTCCCTGGGACACCCAGCTGGGTGTATAACCTGCAGGTTATACGATGAAAGTTGCGTACAATGATCAGTCCTCCGCCATCTCCACCACCCGCAACACAATGTCCACCTCGCCCTTGGCAAGGGCGCTGATGGCGCTTAACAAAAGCTCGTTTTCTGCCCATTCCAGGGTGCCTAGTTGCCACTCTCCGGACTCCGCAAGTCTATATGTACTGTCCTTACGTACACCGGTCAGTTTTTACATTGTATTTACGTATTTTAACGCATTTTTATGCGTAAAAGCGTACAAACTATTTTTGCGCGTAAAAACATGAGCACTATTTTACGCGTTAAAACGTAAATACGATCAGTTTTTACGGCGTAAAAACCAAGCCTAACAGAAGCTGACACAGCGTCAGTGATACTGTATGCAGGTTTGCGCCAATCTTTGTGGCGCTGTGGGGACGTTGTACGATGGCAACGATGGGGGTTTCTGGTGTGTTGCAATATACAGTCTTCAGATATTGCGGGAGGCGTCCAAAAAGGTTGACGCTAAGAGAGAGGGATGGTCTCAGATTAACGTCATTTTGACGCTAAGCGTACCAAATCAAGATACTGTCTTCCCTTAGTGACACAACTGGGATTCTGAGGTTGTCAGCTCGAGGCGATACAGTGGATATAAAACATTAGCCCCACAGTGCATTGCCTTGTCCTGAAAATAGTGCTACCTACAATGCGTGTGCCTAACGGCGTGCAGCGGATGCATTTCCGACACCCTCAGAGAAAAAAGCGGTGCAAGCAAATAAATCAATGTACAGCGTCTTACGCCAATTCTTTTCTGGCAGAGGGTCTGTCATGTAACACAACTCTTGGCCAACTCGCGTGCTCTTTCCTTGCACGCTATTGAAATGGCTTCAACAGCACAGTTGATCAACATTTCATGAAATGGCACCATTCGGTGCCATTTCAATACGGCTAAAGCTTCTGGAACACGATTTCCACCAGTTCGGCCCAGTTGAAACAAGGCTAGAGCCTGCGCAAAGTGGTCAATTTCCTGCCAGTGGTCCCCACCAGCACTGCAGCTGTCCGGCTGCATTGCCGTCAGAGACCAGCCATCCACAGGCCTGAGCCATCACTGCACATCAAAGCAATGACTGCTCTGCGATCATTGTGTGCGCTGCATAAGCCCGCCGCTAATTGGCGCGCACGGCCCGCTAAAACCAGCAAAATGAATTCATACGTGCGATGCCATTTGGCCCAGAATGCCGATCAGTGACCCC